GCTTGTCTGGTCCATTGTCCTTACGGGTATCCATTCACTACACTAATAAAAGCATACTTATTCAAAGGTGAAAAAATACTTATGTTTATATTGATAGCTCTATATTTTTTTACATGTTTTCTTTACCTATAATTTTGAAAAATTATAGGTAAATTATAAAAATTTATATCAATTATGAGGATCTATAAAACACAAAAGAGAAAAAAAAGTGTCTTGATTTTATATGCATATATCCTTTTCCCACTAAATTTCTTCCACCTTTCTTATTACAAGTTTGAATTATTAGAATATGATTTCGTACTACGATTTTTTACAATAGTTATTTTAAGAATTATGTTAATAATAATATTTTATTGATTATTATCAAAATCATTTTAAGTTGACAATGAATAGTCATTAAACTCAAAGGTTTAACGCATGTTAATTTGTTGTGCCATTCACTTTATATACGATTATTTCATATATATTTTCTTTCAAGAAAAGGTTTTAATTAGTAATTTTTAGTTTTAATTCATTTTTTATTTTAAAATNTAATATAATGTTACGTTAAGTTGTCTTCTATCGATAGTTTTTTTATAAGACCTTATGCTTAAATTAAAGAATCTTCGCATAAAATTGCTTTTAGTAAAATTAACTTGATCCTTTTAAGTTAGTGTTTTAAATTCCAGTTTTACTGATAAAAAAATATAGTTGAAAGGAAGAAACTAGATAATAAAGGTAATAAAATTGGAATACTCCATACTAATGTTATGATATAAAAAAAAAAGTATTACCAAGATATTTTTTCAAATAAATTTGTTAGATTGTTTATTGCGAAATATCAATCTAATCAATAGTGTTTTATTCAATTAAATTTGTAATCTTTTAAATATTTAATCAACAATAATACGAGAACCACAATAAATAGACATTATTTTCCATTAGAATTGTATTTGCAAGTGTAATCAATGTAAGATAGAGACGAGGGGACATGACATGACCAAGTCATGGTCTCCACCTTTGTGTTTTTCATTACTTATGAACGTGTCATGGTCTCCAACTTTGTGAGTTATAACTCTTTTAAATGGTATTCTAGTTTTAATTTTTTTTAATCTTTAAAGTGTTTTAAGTAGAAGAAAAAGTTACGGTTTAACTATTAATTATGATTTTTAATATGATAATCAACTGTAATTATAATTTTTAATATAATAACCAACTGAATGTATTTTTTTTTAAAAAGTTATATCTATCATCACTCGTAAATAATATGACATTAATATTTAAATAATATTATGATACTACTAAAAGTAATATTTAAATAATAATGTTAAAAGTTTCACATTGAATAAAATTAACTTATATTATACATGTATAAATTTCATCAAATTAAGTTGAATTTAATTTTAATTTTAATATTGTATAAGAGTCATCAATAAAAATCTATCATTATTTAAGCTTATTGTGTCTTCTGTATTAAAAAATTTAGTTATTTGTTAGATTTATTATTTGTTCTTTAGTGTAAAAGATGTATTTGAAGCCTTATTAATTAATAAAATTTATTTACAATATAAATTTCATATTACATATCAATTTTATAATATTAAATTAAATATAAAGTCACCTTTTAACAATATTAACAAAAATATATTTTTTTAAAATAAATAATATTATAGGATATTTCATCAATTCACTTTAAACATATAAACCTAATTGTTTCGGGTAAGGTGTTGAGGTCCCCTTACTCAAAACACTGAAAGTTTTTCTAAAGACTAGATAGACTTCCTGATGATCATCCATTATGCAAGTTGTATTGTTCACTCTCTCTCCTCCTTGCTCAAGCCATGTGGGAGAATACATGTCAAATGCACTCCGACGCTTAAGTAAGTGACTTTGCGTAATAATGTTTAATAAAAATAAGTACTCAAAATTAGTTAGTTACCTCGCTTCATGTCAAACGTATATTTATATATATTAAAATGAGCTTCCTAGGTCTGACCTAATAGCAATGGTTGTTATTATTATTGATTAATATGTAACTATCTCAACAAATATCTTTACCGCGGTTACTGAGTTGTTAATTGCTTGTCTGGTCCATTGTCCTTACGGGTATCCATTCACTACACTAATAAAAGCATACTTATTCAAAGGTGAAAAAATACTTATGTTTATATTGATAGCTCTATATTTTTTTACATGTTTTCTTTACCTATAATTTTGAAAAATTATAGGTAAATTATAAAAATTTATATCAATTATGAGGATCTATAAAACACAAAAGAGAAAAAAAAGTGTCTTGATTTTATATGCATATATCCTTTTCCCACTAAATTTCTTCCACCTTTCTTATTACAAGTTTGAATTATTAGAATATGATTTCGTACTACGATTTTTTACAATAGTTATTTTAAGAATTATGTTAATAATAATATTTTATTGATTATTATCAAAATCATTTTAAGTTGACAATGAATAGTCATTAAACTCAAAGGTTTAACGCATGTTAATTTGTTGTGCCATTCACTTTATATACGATTATTTCATATATATTTTCTTTCAAGAAAAGGTTTTAATTAGTAATTTTTAGTTTTAATTCATTTTTTATTTTAAAATTTTAAGTGTGTCCTTTTAAACATAAACTCTACAATAGGTCACATAAAGAAATCTTAAAACTATCAGTAATAAATATTATATATAACATCATCTCTAAATGAACAAAATTTGAGCCAATCCTTACCGGTTGAAGTAGTAATCAGTTTAATTAAAAAATAATAAAGTTTGAAATAAAGTTTTATACGTAAAAAAAGTGGAGAGATTTTTATTTTTCTTAAATATGAGCATTTACTTCGACTTGAGTTATTTAACCATTTAAAGTAATTTAAAAGTATTGAAAGTTTACGATAAAAAATATTGATTAAAATAAAAGGGAAGAAACAATAACTATACTATGTGGGTAGGGTAATAGGTGTCCACTGTCCCAATAAGTAAATGGGTGAAGTAAAGACATGCAATAATTGCATTATAAATAGTTTGTTAAAAGTTTAGGGTTGAAATTCTATTTTGATGTAACATATGAAATAGATGTTTCTCGAAATTAATATTTGCAGTTTTCTGTTTTGATTTGTTTTAATTATAGTTTTCAGTTAATATATTTTTTTAATAAAATTAATTATTTAAAAAAATATATAAAAATAAAAAAGAAAACTGAAGTGGATTAACAAAGAAAAATAAAAATAAATTAAATTATTCTAACAACTCGTCATGATCCATGTTTAAATTTCGATGACATCATTATAGAAGTGGAATAATTTATATCGAGACTCCAATTATTATTATTTTTTAAAATTCTACATGGATATATTTTTTCAATACTCATGTACCTCCTTATAATATTTATTCAAAATAAAAATAAAAAAGTAAATACAAACAAAACTCTCCCATCTAATCCAAAGTGCGAAATATTTTCAACCCGTGATGATATCAAGCATGCGAAGAAGCTTGTTTTAAAAGAGAAATGATTGTTAAAAAGGAAAATATCTCGAATGTACTTACCAAAAAATTAAAAAATAAAAAGAAGTTAGCAAGAGTGACTGAATTAAAGATTATAGGTCGCTGGCATCAATGTCGTGTACTTTGAAATTTTCGATGTTATTATTTATTCGATCTTCTTACCTACTGATTAAAAATGTTATTTTTTATTTTAAAACATAAAACGTGATTATTCTTATTTTGTAATAAATAAAGCAGTAGAAAGACAGAACTACTTATATTTATATTTTAATTGCAGAGTACATTCAGCAATGACTTACTTTTTAAACATCCAATGAATCAAATATATATGAAAGTTTTATAATAACGGAAAGGCATTCCAGAAGAGACTTGGATTTCCAGTGTTTATAGATTTAATACATGCACACATAGAAAATCAACGTACATCCTAAACTCGAGGTACATAGTGAAAGAAAAAGAAGAAAAGGGAGAGAATAAATAAAAAAGCTGATAGATGCAAGGAATAATATCCTAAAAAAGAGAAAAATAGATGAAAGTGAATTATATGTGATCTTTATTTAGCATTGCCGGTGCTTGGATAATTTTTTTCCATAAAATTCTTTCATTAAAAATAAGAAAAGAAATTAAATTATTTTTTGTAAACTTAAATAGATAAAAATTCTCACTTATATTTTTTATATTAATATATAAACTGATGAATAAGTCAGTTTTTGTTCTTAAAAAAAAATATATGAAAACGTCTTGAAAACATATCCTAATGACTACTGAATTAGCAAAGAGTAATTCAAACAGTAGCTCATATAGAGATGCATTTGTTCTCTTTTGCGTGCAAACTAAATTGGCCCTGAGCTAGCTAGCTAAGCTTAATTTTAAGCAAGAAAAGGGATTCTCTGAGTGAAGGTATTTTTGAATCTGTAGAAAAGCAGTTTGGATGGAAAGGTTAAAATTCTTGGAGACATTTAGGCCATGTGATGGCATATAGCCAAGAATATTTCTTAGTCAATTTCTTCATTGACAAGCTTCGAGAAAAGTGCCATCACTGGAAAATAGTTGGAAGCTTGAGAGATGAAATGCAATATATGGTGAAATATCCTCTTCTCTGCTTATGATTCCAGAAAGAAGACAAGGGAGTTGCTAGAATGGTAGACTAGTCCAGTTTAGAGTAGTTACCCAAGGCACTTGTTTCTTATGCACCACTATCTTCAATTTTTCCTACTTTTTTCAAGATGCAAAATGATGACCTTTCTACACATCACACATACACTCGGTACTTCATTTTTATGAGGGAACCCCACCACTCAGTACAAGTGGCTGCTCTTGGAGATATGCAAACGAGTAGCATTTTTCACTGTCTTTAGAGATCGTTATTAAATGTCATACACACTTTGCAAGTGTCACTCCATCACAAGATGTGACTTCACTATTCTTTTCCTCTTTTCATTTGGGATTCGAACAGAAAAATAAATAAATCATCATTTACATCAAAATAGATATCCAGAAACAAAAAGAGGGAATAATAAAAACGCACTATTTCCAAATTACACTCATAACATCCAAGATACACTGCCTTTGTCAAATTACAACTTTTTTTGCAGCTTCTAAATAAATCTGAAACAGGGGAACATTAATATCATCTCCTGCATTTTTCTATTTAAATATATGCTATTTTAAAAGGTTCATATTAAAATGACGTTACACTTGGTACTACTAATCTCTAACAATGAGACTATTATGTATACTCCCTATGAATCAGTATAGCATAAGAATCTTCAAATTTGTTTTGCAATCATATACCATCCCACAATAAAAGAACTTGAGATGCATGCCTTCTCTTGACAACACTGTCACATAGCATCCATGTTCCATAAAGTGGTATCCTCCACACTGTCTAACATCCATCCATTCCCTGCGCTCTGAAAATCAAACTGTGGGAAGTCGTAAGTTCCCATGGCTGAAAGGGGATCCATGTTTAGGCCTTCCATGCCATAGTTATTGGTATCGGCATAGCAGTTGTCCTGGATTGGATAGCTGTAGACATTGTTCTCAAGCACATTGGGAGGACTTTTGGGGTGTTCAGAAATTCCAAGCAGCTGTGAAAATGGGAAGGAATCTGGGGATGGATTGATGGGGTTGGACATAGTACCAAGATGATTTGCACCGTCCATAATGAATTCCCTTTGTGGAGGAGACGATGAAAACACAGAGGGTATATTGAAGCTGCTTGACGTTGAACTCATAGAAGCTTCTCCAGAATTCCCTAAATTCACCATGCTTGTCATGGAACAGTGAGGACTCGGAGAATTGTTCTGTTCCATCTTTTGGAGCAACCTCGGCATCCAAAAACACTTCACGGCATCAATGAATCTCTTGCTTCCAGACTCAATGTTAAGTTGGCGTGCCTGCTTCTGTACCCTTGTTCTCCAATAATTCTTGATCTCATTGTCTGTTCTTCCCGGCAGATGCTGAGCAATTTTTGACCACCTGTCCCCAACCAACAGCAAAAGCTTGTCAAACTCATTGTGATTTGTTCAACAAGGCTAATTTTGAGTGCATAAATACTCATTTTTGGGACAGATCATTGAATATCGGTTACCTGTTACCCCACTTGGAATGGAGTTCAAGGATCAAGAGTTGCTCCTGTGGAGTGAGGTTCCCTCTCTTAATGTCTGGTTTTAAATAATTCAGCCATCTGAGTCTGCAGCTTTTTCCAGTCCTCTTCAGCCCTGAGATGTTGGATTGGAATAATGTTAGAAAGGTATAGAACAGTTACAAGTGAAAGTGAATGAAGTTATTCCTCTAACTTTAAGCGTACGTGGAATCTGTACCTGCACTCTTGGCTAACATATTCCACCGACCTTCACCATGACGAGCGATATAGTGAATGAGCAGGCTGTCTTCTTCAAGAGTCCAAGGTCCTCTTCTCAGCTCACTGTCTTCCTCATTAGAACTCAAATCTCTCTTTGCAATTGTGGACATGGTTAGTTTGTGTTTTTGTGGTTTTCAACACAGCAAAAGAATTGCCACACAAGTTATAGTTGGTGTTTGCAAGAGCAAAGAAAGTTATGGACGGTTTGAGTATGATACTGCTGAGAAAAAAGTTTAAGCTAACACCAGTAGAGGCAAGCAAATTAGAAATGAGTTTCTGTGAGGGTTTCTACATCATCATCATGGGCCTATATATATATATACTCCCCACGGAATTTTGTTAAATGGGTTTGGTAGACTAGGGAACAAGAGGCTATACGTTAGCTCTTGGAATAACAGAAGTTGTGAGTGATTATATTATTATGCCCTTTTTCAAAATAGGTCCCACCCATACTATTCCTTAGTTATGCAAAACACCCTGAACAAAGACGCTAAATTGCAAGTGTTAACAAAACACCCCCACCCGTCCATTGCTCCATTATCTCCCACTAAACAAACATCACATAATCTAAAAAGCCGCTACTAAAGGAGGGAATATATTAAGGTTATGCTGTTAACTATAGAAGTTGATTAACTAACTTGGAACTGGGCAAATCAAAGACTTTCCTCTACCCTCAGGACAAGATTTTGGAGAATTGACCGTGTAAATATTGATCGTGCAGAAATTAGCTGCGGAATATTTTGATTATAAAGCACGGTGTTTTTTTTTTCTTGGTGCACCTTTTTGCTGTAAGAATCGATTCAAGATTGCAGAATCCAAGAGAAACACGCCAAAGATTCTTTCTTAAGTATACATGTATCCCATGTTAATGACTAAAGAAATCTCTATATACTAATTAGAGTCCGTTATATTCTTTTTTAACTTTTAGAGAATCCAGTATCCATCTGTCGTAATATATCTGAACGAGAAACCAATGTTCTAGATAAAAATTACGTTTTCAAGAAAGGAAAATTTAACCCACATATATCTCTAACGGAATGCCTTTTTTCCAGTCTAGGGTAATACTTTATACAGCAGTAGAAGAACCAGAAATTCTTGTCACATATCTTTCTTTGCCATTAGATTCTCCTCTCAATCTATACACTGCTACGTTACTACTCTACATAATGATTGTATTTTTCTGATTCTGAGAGAGTTCTCTCTCAAAAGTTGTCCTTTGCATCATTGTACAAGTAAGTGGTCTTCACTTTTTTTGTAATCACACAGTGGTGTTACCATGCTTGTTTTTTTCCTGCGCAGAAAAAGACTCCTTAGAAAAGTAACTACACTTCCTTTCCCTTAACATCATGTACTACTTACCTATCACGTGTTTCACTCATTCTCCGAACTATATTGCCCTCAGGAGTTAAACCGTTAATATATAATTAGTACAATTCCTTATCTCAGTTACGTTATTGAGAATATGTTATTTTTAAGAGTTTAAGTCTCGACCAATAAAATCTCATTATTGATATAAGTCTTAAAAAATTACCACTCATATAAAAGCATACAAAATAATTAAAAATAATTGTTGATTTAGTTTTTCAGTAATTACTGTACGTTAACAAAAATATCCTGTATTGATATAGTAATTCTTTATATTATCTGTGCATGTAATAATTCATCAACTGGGTAAATGGTTAAAGGAGCTCTTAACATTTTAAGGTTAGCCTCTGAGGTGTCCCAAACTTCAATAATGGAGCTTTATATGTAAATTCGTAGTTAGTACAGGGAAAAAAAGTCACTTTCAGTTGAACTTGTTTAAGTCCGTAAGAATTTAACATGAGATGATTAGGATTTTTGGCTTACGTAGGTTGTAGAGCTCTATATGCTTTTAATGTGTGTTGAAATAGGATAATTATCTTTTTTCTTGAAGATAAGGTAATTATCTTTAGGTGGCTAAGTAGCTGTTTTGAATTGGTGCCTAGCTGATAAAGAGGTTATTGATGTTGTTGGAGGTCGTTTTGGATCTTTCCTGGCTTATAGGTATTTCGTGACCTCGATCATGTATTAGGTTTAGAATAAGATATTTTTAAAACAGTCAAGTTCTTTTAGCAAGTTTTCTTAGTATTTTTTGTCGTTAACACTTTGTTGACCAGATTGTAACGGTGGAAATCTCTAAAGATAAATGATTTTGAACTTATAATTTTATAGTTTGAGTACAATAATTGAAAGTACTTTTTTACTAAAATTTCTTGGTGCTCGAAAAATAAATTGTAACTTAAATTAGAAAGCAGTGGCGAAAGTTTATGAACAGATTCAGATGTAACAGAATGTTTGAGTTGAGGGTCTTATAAAATGACAGCTCATGATCTGAATGTGTGTAGAAAAGTGTATTTACATTTAATGTTTAACAGTGTTTGATGATGAGAACAATATATGTTTTGTTAATATGAAAAGAAAAGAGGAAAGGCGTCCCTAAGACTGAAGAAAAAATAGAAGTTGAAATGAATGGATGGAGAATGTGGTGTGTTTTGCAAGTATTTCTATATAAGTAACGTGTTTGACTGAGGAAGAGAAAAGGGGAGTGAAAAGAAGATGACAGTGTAGAGATACATACAATGTAAGAGGAAGGCGAGCGGTGGGGAAGAAGCACGTCAGCAACTAAATGTTAGTTTGGTCAGAAAGTGGGGACATTACGTTTGTCTCGGCCAGCCAGCTGTTTCCATTTTTTTCTCCTTCTCTGTTTTTTCTTCCCATCAATTCTCGCGTGCTCCTGTTAACTACATATAAACACATGCAACAATTTCATTCAAATCCACGTTTATAAAATTAAGTACTACTTTAACTTCATTACCCAGAGCCTATCTGCTCACCAATTTCGGTTATCTGCACTTTATTTTTTACTTCAAAGACCCATAGCCATACACCCCAAAAGTTTCATCCATCAATTTCACATCATTTACTTAGACTTTGATGAATTTTTTGGAAGGGATTCGATTTAACAGGAACTATATAAATGTCACTGGGTAACCTACATAAAAAATTTTATATCATTTCTAATTTAACAAAACATTAAGTTTATAATTTCTTTTTTAAAATTTTGCCATTTCTGTTTAATGTAGGATTTAGATTTACAGATAAATGATTTTCAATCATCTTCTTTGGGGGTATGTCTGCTTTCATTGGTGTATTTCTTTTTAAAATGATTCTTTTCTTATAAGAGAGTTTATTAGAAAAAATTATATATATGTAATCTTAATTTAAATCATATAAAAAATTAATATAACTTTTTAATTTTAAATTTTAAAATCTCTAAACATTGAAGTCTTTTTTTTTCTTATTTAATTTTATCATTTGTATTCGATGTAACTTAACTCACACTTTAATTAACAACATACTCTTACAAACAACTATACTGATTTAATCTAACCTTTGTATCAATTTAATTAAAGTGTTGTGATCTTAAAAGAAAGCTAAGATATCGCATGTTTCCACCATATTTACTTACTCTTCTAAAGTTGTATTAAATATAATAACTTTTACATATTCTTCTTGTTTAATATAATTGATAGTGTTTTAATTCGGAGAGACTCTCTACAAAAAATTTAAATCACTTAATCAACTATTTCAAATTGTTTAACTAATCAAATTTGTTCTACCTTGATAAATATATTAATAATTAATAATTAATTCTTTGTTTAAACATAGTAGTTTTTAGATGTATCACCATTAATATATTAATTTAAATATAAAATTAACTCACAATTATAATAATTTAATAAAAACATTACCCTAATTTAATCCTATATATCATGGTATGTTTCGGTTATGGATTAAGGTTATATATTTTTTGAGTTTTGTGTGTCCTAACATTAATCTTTGTCATAATTTGTCTTTGAACTTTTTTTTTCAGTGTAAAAGGTACTCTGATGCCAAAGTTAATAAAAATCCAGCTACTTGGAGTTAATGTGTAATAAATACAATTACTTACCTTTTTACTTCAAACTTATATTTATAGATTTCAGGGTAAGTTTTGGCTCACTAACGGCCTAATTATGATTTAATTGGTGTTAATCATGTTTTGTCTCATATTAATCTCTATCAAACCTAATTGTTGTTTAAAGATAACCGTTCGATCTACAGCTGCTGTTGCTCGATCTCTTGAATGGTCTTCTTGATGTTTTTAACTGTATAGACTGTTCTATCCTGAATTAATCGGACAATCATATAATACGTTCTATTAAAATAAATAAATAGTAGATGAAGGTGTACAATTAAATATATATCGTATTAAAATTTACCTTTACCATTTCTCTTTTTTACATTATTAACTAATAAAAGTGTCATAGTTGATTTTTTTAAGATAACTACTAGTGAATAGTTTCATATATATATATATATAGAGGTACTTCCCATCAGTGACGGAGCTTCTTTGTCTGTGATGGGGATTTGTCTTCTCATTCTTTTTATACAAATAAAAGTTAATATATATTTTTTAATTTTAATAAATTTAATATATTTGACCTTCTCTAATTTATATATATTATAAAAAACCAAAAAATATATTTTGAAGATCCTATCCATTATTAACTGCACAAACTATCTATATTCTCGTATGAATGGAATTCGAGAAAGAAAGATAACAAGGTATCTTTTGACGTTCGCTGAGTGGGTGAAACACGTGTCGTTTCTCTACAGGTGGTTTTTAATAAAACAAAGACCAAAAAGGAAAAGATTATTATCTTTTAAAAATATTTATAGAGTTGTTATCCTTTTTATTTTTTATTTTTGTCTTCTTTTCTACGCCCAAGTCATATTTTTGTTTGGAATTAGGTGAATTTGTATGAAAGAAATGCGGGTTTGCAGGACTAAATCAAAACTGTAAGTAAATAAATAAATAAATGTGTATATATTTTTTAACATAGGAAATATATGAAAACAGGATAAGCGTCGTCACTGTTAATATTCTGAATTAACATTACAAACATGCATGAATAAAATAAATAGCGGTATATCTATATGTAGAAACTGCATACAAGTACGCCCACGAAATATGACGTACATCAAACGCAATGCATTACAGTGAAGTATAGAATCCTCAACATCAACACACTAAATATAAAGCCTAATTTTTTAATGCAAGTATTTATTAAGAAAATGTAACTTATTGCACTGAGTAAACAATCAATACACACAGAATTTCTGTTCTTCAATCGTCCAATCTTTAGTTCGAGTCTTCTTCTTCGATCTACTGTTTGAAGGTGTATCTGTCAAAGGTTCTCTGATACTTAAAGTCAGTAAGCTGTTCGTTGGGTAGTTCAATATAATAGTAATAAATGCACAATAAATACGATCATCTACATCTTACTTTCATCTGTATTTATAGTTTTTGAGCGTAGACCAAGATTAGTAAAACTTTAATCTCAGTACAACACCCCTAATTATTATTTACTTTAATTCCTATAGTATAACCTACTTTTTGCATACTATTGAGCGTCTCTAATTGACCGATCGGTCCAACTATATTCAGTTTTGTCCTGACTTTATTCTTAAATTGTCCGACTTTGACCAACATGGAGGCGGACTATAATACCATCCAATCTATACATTACAACAAGTATATATTTGAACTAAATTATATTCCATCTCTCAATTTTTTTTACATAAACAAATATTCCAACAATCAAACTGTCAATCCAAATTTCTCTACTACCCCAAAAATACCAACATAATATACACCAAAATAGATTTGTACATAAAAATTAAAAAAGATGTTCAAACCCAAAGCCAAAAGGGCTCAATTATCCGGAAATACTAATTGTTTCAGTCACAACTTTTATCAGAGTAAAATATATTTTATACTCAAATGTAAATAATTTTCAAAACATTTTTCTTGCTATTTTTATCTATCTAAAATTTAAGCATATATCGAGATCTTATTAGTAATGATTACAGATGAAAAGTTGACGAGGATAATCATTTTAACAAGTAGGTTTTATAATTATAAATAATTTATATCAGATGTATAATAACATTATATTAACATCATATTTATATAAGTTTTCTTTTTATCATTATTTACTAACAAACGCGTAAAAAAGTTGTTTAAATTTTAAAAAGAGGAAAGCAACGCAATTTTTTAAAGAACGTATCTAATGTTTTAGGAATTTTACGCAACATATAAATCATATTTTAGTTTGTTTAGCATATCAAAATATCGATTTTAATCATTAATGAATGATAAAGATAATTTTAATTTCTATGATTTAGAGTGAGTGTATATAAACATTTGCCCACTTACATTTGTAAGACTTAATTAGTTAACAATGAATAATGTGTATATTTAAATTAACTGTGAAAGGTTTGGCACTAAAGATATTTGAATATGGTTACTAAAAAATAAAGATGATACGTTTTATTTGAATTCAAGAAAAAGAATATTAAAAGAAGAATGGATGTCTGTTTAGACTGATTATATTCTATGTATGTGTATAACATGGTTACATAAGTTTTTTTGTTAGAGGGAATTTTTCAAGAGTAAAAATAAAGATATTTTATATATAAAAATATTATAAATTTTACTATTAAACACTGATAAACTTACTGGACACGCAAAAATAAAATTGTAAAGTAGACTAGGTAAATCAAGAAATGTTATCTCTCTATTTATTAATTAAATTATACTGTGTATCAAGGTTTAAAATATAAAATCAAACTATACAACATTAACTAAATTTAATCAATAGTCTTAAACGCAAACCCTAAAAACATCAAAATATTTAGGTTCGTATATCTCTCGCTTCTCAACCTCACCAACACATGAGAATATTTTCTTATATATTTTTAAAACTGTTTGATCTATTCACAGATTAATACTTTTAAAATAAAATGTACATATACTTATATATTTTTAATTAATTTTATCGTTAATTAATATAAGTCTTTCAATACTTTTTTAAATCAAAATATATACACGTGAAATATTTTATTTTTAATTAATATAAGGCTTTCAATACTTTCTTAAATCAAAATATATACATGTTGAATGGAAAATTAAATTAATAAATAATTTGGATAGCAAATAAAATAATTTAAACAAACAATAAATTTAACTAAAATAAATTTTAATATTTTATTAAAAATGAATTTTAAATTTAACTACATTTCATAAAATCAATTTATTATAATATTTGTAAATTGATTTTATGGATGAGAAATTCAAACCTATATTAAGTTATGTAAAGAATTAAATTAAAAATAAAAATTGAATTTTATAATATAAAAAATAAGAGTGAAATGTATTTTAAAAGTTTAAAGTTTCCAAAGGCTGTATGATTAGAGTGGACATATATGGAAGATAGCATAAATTTTGGTGGTTTGTTTGAGATGATATAATGAAAAGTGAGAGTAATAATATGAACAGTCAATGATTGAAGGAGAGGTGATATGAAGTGGACATGAAAATGTCACTTCACATAAAGAATGGAGGAGATGCCATAAAGGTTTCAAAGTAGTGTGAAGGTGGAGGAAGAGATAGCATAGATTAGATTATAGATTAGATAGATGCTTTTTATCGCTTTCCTTTTTCATTCTAAAATCCTACTAGATCGATGCATAATTAATGTCACACGTGATGGATTAAACACATTAACAAATTTTTATTTCTCATTAATTATTTTATAAACACAATTTCCTCTTATATTAATTTAATTTACTTGAAAGATAAACATAATTATTTTTATCAGAATATCCAAGTACAAAAATATCGTTATTAGGTTACAGGGAAAGCATGCGTGGTGGGCACATATCTATGACTTAAGAATAGGGTACATCCCTGTAATTAAGCTTCATTAAATAAGTTGCCACGTACCCTAAGAAGGGGTTTCTCTCTCTTTTTCAGATTTTTTTTTTCTATTCCTACCTTCTTTTCTAATCTCTATACAATACCTAATTATAGGATTGAGACATTCTGCAGTTGCATTTTCAACTGCACAAATCTTAAACATTTAAAACCTTTGTTAATTCTTTTTATCAAATTGGAGGATGATTTTTTTTTTTTTTAAAAAATTAGTTGTCATGGATTAATAATTGTGGTCCAAGTCCGACCTTATATGATTTTATCTTATTTTTAAATACAGAAAATATATAAGCTTATTACACGATAAGAATCATTGCACATTTTCAAACATTCACATGTATACATAATTTTTGTTTCTTTTAATATTTTTGAAAAAAAATATAAATATTATATTAAAATCTATATTTGTATTTCTTTATTTAAAATTTTCGTTTTATTTCAGAAGACCACTGCTATTTTAATAGTTCCATTCATACGAAGTAACTATGAATATTCGATGTTTATATTAAAATAAAATGTCTAGATTTATTTATCGTTAACTCATTGGGTTATTTTAGATTGTTCTTATTAAAACAATCAATTCTTATAAGAAGGGAAGAGGTAATTCTAAAAATACTTAAAAGTATTCTACTTAAGTTTCATAAAAAAATTATTATATCTAAACTTAAATTAACGTTATTTAGTAGATATCACGAATATTTCATAGGTGGAGATAATCACACATAGCCATGAACGTAATAGTGCATAGGGATTGGGATATAGGTGATGTGTGGACTTAGCATGTGTGACAAAACTTTTTTTTCTTTTATTACTTTAGATATATTGAAAATTCAAACTTAAGATGTTAGATTGAAATACTCTTTTTATAATTTTATCAACGCGCTAGGTTGTATGTCATTATGATTTAATGCACACAAGAAGAATTTTTTTTATAGAAAAATTTACAATAAATAAATAAATAAATTGCAGAGGTGTAAGCAGAAAAAAATTGTGAATTTGACATTCAAAAATTTGTTAATGTGTTTGGGCCGTTTTTGACAAAAGACGCTATTCCGGCCTTTTTGTGTGTTTTCTTAACATTATGCCAGAGAGGAATCATCACGTTTTGTGGTCTGGTGGTGGAAAAAAATAATAAAAAAAAGAGGAGTGATGGTAAGAGATCTTGTCTTCTCCAAAGCATGAACCGCACTTTTCACTTTTCATCCAACCCTGAACCTCTTTTCTGTTCTCCGTCGATTAGTTGAAGACTTCCCACTTCAATTTTCACGTCCAATTTCTTAAATGTATATAAATTATTGAAGCTTGTTTTCATCGCAAAGTTAATTTTAATTTGATTTTGCATGAAAAGTGGAAGTAATTTGCAAAATTGTCTTGTTGCCAAAACAGGGAAACGAAAAATTGGTAGAGGTCAATTTGCAAATGGCTATATCTGCTAATTCCAGTAAGAGTGGGAACTGGAAGCGAAAAGAATTGTGGTTTCTTGTGATTTATGCAATCGTTTTCTATGTTATTATCATCAACCGTTCACTTCAACTCTCTCGCGGTATATATTTTATTCCTTTTCTACTTTATAATATTGTTTCAGTATTTGTGTTTACTCGTACTACTTGCTTAGTTGCTGCGCATTGAGTGCTTTGGGTTTTGTTTTTCGTAGATTATTACAAACAGCTGTCAGGTTTACGCCCGGGTTGGCTTTTAGCTAATCACCTCAATGTATGATCCTGCTCTTTTTGGTCATTATGATATTTTGTCTGTTGTAAGTATTTCAGTAGATGGTGATGTTGCTTGCTGATCAAACACACATGCTGTTCTGTTTTGTGTAAAGGATGTTTCAGATGCTCAGTGGAGGAATTTTAGAGGGAATATACCCGTTCTTACTCTTGTCTTTGGAATTTTCACTCTTCTTGCCTACTTGATGAAAGCTTTCTTTGATTTAAGAGTTAGAGGAATGTCCATTGTGTGGCTTTTATTTTCTTTGGCCTACTTGTCATATCTTCATGGAGCATGGTAGGGTACACAATTTAATTTGATGTTGTTTTTTCTTCCATTGTTGTTATTCTTTACCTTCTTCAGTCTGACTCTTGAATTTGTTTCATTTGCAGCATTGTTTTTATCCTATCAATAGCTACTGGTAATTTTATTCTTGTAAAGGTGCGTGTAATGGACAGTGAATACGTATTAGTTGTAATATATCTAGTTGGGAACCTGTAACATTGTTGATTTTAAATTTTTAATCGCCTACTTAAAGTTATCAACATGTCATAACAGTTCTGTTTTTTATTTATTTTTCATTAAAATTAGTTTCCCTCAGGCTGCTTTATTTTAATTTGCATGTCATATATATACAAAATGTAATAAAAAAGACATCTATATTTGATTTCTTGTATTGCTCATAGGAATGATACTCCTCCTCAAAATGTAAGATTTTGTTTTGTTTATTTATTTCTTGCTAACTGTTTGGATTTCTAATGCTGGGACTCTAGAATTTCTGAAACTTAGTACACTTTAGTGAGAATGGTGTGCCATTGGATGATGGATTATTTAAATCAATACCTTCTACCAAACAATAATAGTATAGTAAAAATTATTACATCAGAAGCCTGCAGCAAGCATTGTCGACAACCTTCTAAAGAAGGACAGCTCTAAAGAGTGCAGTCTCCTAAGTTCTGTATAGTGAGAGACTTGTGATTCATGTGGGAGAAATGTCTTTCCAATGGAGAATATGGAGATGTTTTTGGCAGAGGGGGGTTGGGTATTGTAGAAGGGCAGGTCCGTTTGACCTTGAAGCTCCAATAAATTTATTTTAAGAACAAGTACATCCAAAAGGAAAAATATTGGAGTTTGGAGGCCAAACAATTGTTTTATGGCTGGGAAAATATTTCCTTGCATCCATAAAACTGTAATGACAGATCACAATATAAAAAATCAGCTTGGGCTCACAACTCTGGTCCTGGATATTTATTGACAGTATAATAGTATTAACTGAACCTAACAACTTTTGATGCTTTAACCATATTTTCGTTGATGTTTAAGTAACCATAACATAAACCGTTTGTTCCTGAATAGATAATGTTTTGGTCAATCATTGTGTTGTTGCACTTAATACCATATTTATAACTTTTCCATAGTTGTCATGTAAGACTATTTCTGTTTGAGCAGATATTTGCACAGAAGGAGTACTTTCCACTTATAGTTTGGAGTTACAACATATTGTTTCTTCTCTGTAATCGGATTTATGAAGGATATTCATTCTCTATATTTGGGTAACAAGCATAATATTCGTTGCATTGATACGTTGATCTGTAGGAGTAATTCCATTTCGACTTAAGATTATGTATTTACGTTGCAGGCAACAATGGGCATTTTTGGAAAATTACCGAGGCAGCTTTAGGTGGCATATATGCTTCAATTTTGGTATTTTTTTTTTCATTATTTAATTGAGTTCCTATGGTATCCAAGAAAGTCAAAATAATCCATTTATATGTGATTCTTACAATTACTGGTCCCATGATTCACGCATGTTGGACTGTTCCTCACCCATCACTGCATTCATATAAAATCATGCCAATTCAATCACTCCTCACCTTTTGAATGTTGTCATGTTACTCAGATTTGTTATTTAGAACACTAATGGATAAGAATATTAAAATTTGGTGATCTAAATTCTATTTTTTGTTTTGCTTTTTATGAATTATACACATCTTTCTGTTCTCATTTCTCATACCATTATGTAATGTAACAATATCGGTAACTTAATATATGTTTCTTTATATTTAAGCTTAGATGTTTGTGGCAGTTGTTTTGCGCATGATAAGCTTCGGGTTTGATTATCACTGGACTAATCGAGATTCTCATTTTGATCAGGAGGTATTTCTTTCTTTCTGAAAATAGCGCTTGTTTGTTTTGAATATAAAATTCTGTTGGGCAGCCTCACTCGTAACCTAATATATTTTCAGAATGACAATATATTATAATTGCTGGGGACAAATTATTATGAAATTTTATTAATAAAGAGTTATTCTTGATGTTACTTCAAAGACATAAATGTACATGATTATTATTCAATTTTTTTTTTCTTGAATGCTTCACTCCACTAGTGCATAAGGGCAGACTACTTTTCTTAGGTTGTAGTTTTTGTATTTTTCTACAGATTAGAATATGGACTGGGAACAGCCTTGGTCAGTTAATATCCTTTAGGTAAAACCTATTATGTTGCCATCTTCATGTTTCTTGATTGGTCGTTTTTGACATTTTCTGGACCATTACTTGAAACATCCCAGCTTGCAATACTTATGTCTAGTGTACATTGTTAATTAATTATGTAGCTTTATGATTTTGGTTATCAATATGATTAATAAATATATTTTCCACTGTCTAATTCTTTGATATTTGCAGAAGCATTATCAACGTTGTCATATTTGTAAATCCGGAAAATCATGCTATCAAGTTTTACAGGTTAGGATAGCTGCTAGTTAAAATCAAGCTCAAGGTGAAAGTTATTGTAGTTGCTTGGTTATGTTTTTTACTTTTCTTATGTTTTTATGTAGCTATAATTTCTATTGACCCTTTAAACTCGTGTTTTCCAATTCTAATTTTAATAACATTATCAGGAGAGAAGTCTGCCCAATGACAGGTTTGGATATATCACATACCTTTCTTATTTGGTATATGCACCACTTTATATCGCTGGTCCAATACTGAGTTTCAATGCTTTTGCCTCACAGGTTTGTGACTGCAAGTTATTTTGGTGGTTTAAGCTTCATTATTGACTTCCATTACATTGTGTATAGTTTTGATCTTATTAAAACCTCTATTGAGGAAATGAACCATCATGGTATTATTTTCAAAAGGAGATGTACATGCAAGAGGTAATTTTTTTGAATTGGAAAACAAACCACATTTATAGTCATTGTTTAGAAATTTGATGGTATAACCAAAAGGATTCGAGTAGGGCAGAAGTTCCTCATGTATTATTTGTAGCGAAAGGCACTCAAATTTTAGGAAAACTTTTACCATACATCTAATACCTACTATGTTACATGGAATGGAGTATTGGATGGTTAAAAGCCGGCAATGGAATAAAGTCAACACAGTTAAGATTAAACATACTAGACAACTTATGTATAAGTGCTTTTTTGAATAAGTTTCTTCATAACCTTATGGAGAATAAAACAAAAAAAAGAGACAAGTTTATCCTATAAGCTAAAATTAGCCCATGTATATGTTCAAATCTGGTTATAACTGCTATAATTACTTACGGAGAAGCTTATTCAAATAGGACTATGATAAAAAAAAATGCATTAGAGAAAATATGGGTAGCTCTTATTATAGATCTTAGAAAGTAGACTTTAAGTCTAACTCAATTTTAAAAAATTGATTTGCAAGATAAGGTTTACAACTATTTATATACTATAATTTAGTCACATCTCTAGTCCTTACATTATTGATCATATCTTTAGTCAATATAAGATTTCCAACAATATAAAATAATATTAGTTTTCACTTAAGGTGATTTGGGCACGTGTTGAGCACAAGTGTTGAACACATGATGAGAAGAGTTAATCAGTTGGAGAGCATCCCTGTCCGTAGAGACTGAGGGGGGACTGATAGGGAGAGAAAATCATAATCAACAAACATTCACAGAGAAGTGGGATCTGATTGCTGATTTCAATTCAAGTTGTAGGAAATAGCAATCTTTGATTATATGTTTCTAGAAGCAATAACCATTACAAAGATTAGCTTTCATTCAACAAATGCTGCAACCGATGCTTTCAGAATGATCCTCTCCTCAAGATACCCGTGATATATATCTAACAATTCCCCCTCATGCTCCATCTCTCCCACCCGCATACATAACCAACTCTGAATTGATAGAGTACCTTGCCAACATATCGATCTTTCTATGTAGCATGACTCCGGAACTTATATCTCTAGCTTTGGGACTTGTGTAAACCTTCCTCTCCTATGACAATTGATAGAGTGGGTTTTCCATTGTACCACTAACCACTGTTTCGCTAGAGGTCCATTATGGAAGAATCTTGTAGTAAAAGCCGCTGCTTGTGTATGAAAAGATGTCTTCTAACACCATACTACTATGAAAAGTGGGGTAGACATTGTGGAGTCCTGGGCTCTTTTCAGTTTAGAAGCTAAAGCACCTTGTTTAGAGAAGAGTTGAAAAGGACCAAAGTTCCTTGCAGCAAGTTTAGGATTTGATCAATGCTTGCCTGTGAGGTATATACTTGATATAGATGCAACCCTTGATGTGAAACTTTTCTGATTGTCAGTGAAAATCAACAATCTTCCTTAAGTCTTATGCCGTGTAAAAACTTCTGCTCTCAATCAACTCATAGGCAGCTTGTTTCACTTCTGTTTTACCTTGAATACATTGTATGGTTGTTGGTAATTTCCTGCCATAAGCCACCTCAGAAGGTGTCGTGCTAGTGTAAACTTGGTAAAAAGTAATTGTACCAATTCTCTAAGTTGTACAAAAGCAAAAGGAAACAAATGAGCTTTAAGGCGAAGAGGTATTGCTTTGTCAATTTAAATGATCAACTGGCAACTGTCTCCACTAGTCATTTCCTTGAATTAGTTATATATGTAACAAGCTTATGCATATTATTTATATTCTCTAAAGGGTGACTAATGTAAATAAGGTGATTATGGGTTGATTTAGTGTTGTATCTTAAAACATAATTATTCAAGCATGGTAACTGTAAATCCTTGTCTTTATGACTCAGTACATATAATATTATCTGTTGTTTAATTGAGACCTACACAGTCCATAATGCCCCATTTTATCTCTTTAACAATTTCTGACTGATTCTCGTGTCACTGACTGCTGTCGAGTGCTTTTGAATAGTTGCTTGAGTTTCTGTTTTGCTGATGATATTATTCTATTTTTTGGCAGTTAGATGTTCCTCAAAACGCTATTTCGGTTAGAAATGTGATACTTTATGGTTTCCGCTGGATGTTGAGTATTATCCTCATGGAATTAATGACTCATCTATGCTACTATAACGCCTTTGCTAAGAGGTGAGAACTTCAGTATTCAGGAAAGGACCTCGGGTTATATTTAATTTTTAATCCAATTTCATTGTTTGGTTGCTGAAATGATTTCTTAATTAACTAGTGATTTATGGAAGCACTTATCGCCTATGGACGTGTTCATCATTGGATATGGTGTAAGAGAATATACATTCCTCAATTAAGTGGTTTAACAAGCCTAATCACGTCTCCAAATCACACAGCCAACCTCATTTAGTGGGATAAGGCTTAAGGGCTATTATTGTATCATAACAATTAAATTAGTTCAGCATGTTGCCTTCTCAATCTTTTCTATTTATTTGTTCCAGGTATTAAACTTCATGTGGCTAAAATTCTTATTGATCTGGCGCTTTTTCCGATTTTGGTCACTGGTATGTTAATTGCTCGATAAGAATTTCACATAAATGTCCAAATACATATTTGAAGAAAGTCATTTTGAGTTATTAATTGTAGATAAATGGAATTGAGGCTCCGGAAAACATGCCAAAATGCATTAATAACTGCCACAACTTGGAAGGCTTCTGGAAAAATTGGCATGCTTCCTTCAACAAGTGGCTTGTGAGGTGCAATCAATTATTTTTCCTGGATTTTTCCCTTTTTGTTTTCCCAGATAACTTAAATTTTGATTGGCAAGAAATTCAGGTATATTTACATTCCTCTTGGTGGATCTAAGAAAAAGCTACTAAATGTGTGGGTTATATTCACATTTGTTGCAATCTGGCATGATTTAGAGTGGTAAGTTCCCTTTATTGTTGAAGTTCAACATTTCTACCTATAAAAGTTGCACAGTTTTTTATCAGATATTTTATGCTTGATTATTCTTATATACCTTAGGAAGCTTCTTTCATGGGCATGGTTGACCTGTTTATTCTTCATCCCTGAGTTGGTTTTTAAATCAGCAGGAAAAACCTTTCAGGTATTCATATGCACAATTTTCTTCTGCTATTAAAATTTTCGTTGATCTGTAGTTGTGATTTGCTGTCTAACATGGAGGTAAATTTGATTATCAGGCTCAAAGTTCTTTTGGACTATGCATATTTCGTGAACTCAGTGCTGTTGCTGGGGCAGTCACAATTACGTGCCTCATGGTTTGTCCCTGACTAGCCTAAGAGATTTATGAATATCGTAATCTTTATTTATTATATTTTAATTTAACATCGTCGTCAATTTTGTGGCCTCTGGTGGCTACCTGAGAAAGTATAAGAAGGATTTTTAAAGGAGCCAAGTTAATGATGCAACAAGTAATCTGATTGAACCATATGATCCAGTGCAAGGCCTTTTATACAACAAATTTGACGTTCAAATTCCCGCACAATATAAATTGAACCTGAGTCAAGTTTATTTATGGATCACTACTTCTACATTTGTGTGTGTGTGTGTGTTTATATATATAGAGAGAGAGAGTCATGCTAAAATTTATGTCCCAGGTCCTGCTTCTTGCACTGTACACTGAACCATATCAAGACAGTATTTTCCATTTGGATGGTTGATGAAAAATGACTTATTAATGCTTTTTTTCTCTGCTGACTGTTTATTATATCTGTTCTGTAGAAATGGTTGTATTTTGTTTATAAAACAAAAATATAGTCCATATATAATTTAAATACCGTGACATTTCTTGACAGGTGGCTAATCTTGTTGGGTTTGTGGTTGGACCGGGAGGCATTAACTGGCTGCTTTCTTCTTTCCTTCACAAGGAAGGTATGCCAACTATCCTTAGCCTTTTAACTTAATTGCAATCAAGTAGAGTAAAAAATTCATTTGGAAATTCCATGGCACAGGTTTGCCCGTCCTTGGTGGCATGCTTGTGACATTTTACGTTGGAACAAAGGTTTGAGATGTTCAGCATTTATTTTTATGTATTCAATCCTTTGAAACTTTTCTTCTACTCCTTTCCAATTTTCCTTAATTATCTTCTGCCTGCATATTTGCAGATTATGTTCCACATTGACGAGGCTAAGCAAAGGTTGTCCTGAACTGGGACAATTACTTTTGACCATGTGAAAATATTCAAATTCATTTTGTGTCAGGAGTTCCAAATGTGCTTGACTTGGAGGTGTCTGCGGGTGCCTTTCTTTTTATGAAAGATTTCCTGATGAATTGTACATTAAATTGGGAGCCATACCTTCGAATGTTTTACACCATATAGTCTTAGAATGCGGAAAAATGAAGAAAATCTGTTGATTTTGATACCTTATTACATCGGTTTGTGCTTTATTTTCTTCATTTATGTTTTTCCAATTCAAGATATATTCAGTTCTCGTGAGCACCATTATTCTGTTAACTCTTTTTTGGGGGAATGACTGTTTTATTTGTCTGATATGGTTTTGTTTATCTCATTCTCATAACCTAAAATATCTGGTTTTTCAAAGATACATAAAGAATATATCAAATCCATAACAAATTATTCTTATTATGAAATAAATAATTAAATATAAGAAAATAAAACATTAAATTACTTATATTTTTTTCATGAAATTTTTTAAATTGTATATTTAAAAAATACAAATATTAATAATGTCACGTTTCTATGACTAAAAAAGTCACTCGTTAATTTAAGAAATTAAGAAAACTAAATAAACTTATTGTTTTTTGACAAGCTATATGTGACATTGGTTTTATTGGATTAATCTTCCTCTTATTTTGTTGTCATAATCATATTATTTGAATTTAGATATTTTTCATGTGCAATGAAACTTTCCATGATTCTACACAGTTTTGATTTTCCTTCTTCTAATCTTATTAACTTAAATGTAATTTAACATAATTCAATTAAAAAATATACACTGGAGGTTTTTTAAGATATATGAAATAAACTGTTACATTTTTTAATTGAATTAAATTAAATTTGAATTGATTGAATAAGGATAAGAAAGAAAATATATTTTCATATAAATGTTAAAATCCAAAAAGTATCTGTACAGAATAAAACGGACAAGAACCTAAGAGACAGAATAAGAGTCATAACTTAATTGTACGATGAACTAATCCTTTTGGTTAAGTTAAGAGCCAAGTGCATAAAGAATCAAATTAGGAAAACTTTTCGATGCATAGAGTACAATTATTGCTGCAAACTTTATTCTCTTCCAATGAATATACATTTTGCTAAAGACACATTCCATAACATGTTACATCAGCCAAAAATACGATTGAGAGTTGCAGCCAATCGAACTCCTCCTTGAGCTAATCGCAAACTGACCTCTGGCAAACGTGATAGAAAGTAATCGTCTGCAGAGCATTATTTCAGATATTGTGAGATAAACTGTAAAAGTCAATCAAACCTACACTTCACATACTTACTATCTTACCTTCTAGCACTGAACCTTCAGGAGCATCTTTATATGCCCATTTGCAGGCAGCTTGAATGCCTTCAGAAGCATATCTGAAAAAAACCCACTAAAGTTTATCAAACAGATATATTTCAATAACATATGTAGACCAACTATAGGAGTTGGGTACAATATTTTTCTTGTAATGCAAAAATAATAAATTATAATTTTTTGAACGGATACTGGTGATGAAGAAATTAGCTTTGGGATAGATCAAAAGGCATACATATCTGGGCAAGTAGTTTCCTTAGAATTGCAGGTTTCCCATCCGCGTACTTGATCAGACCATGTTTTCTGTTTCAGAGAATTTGGAGTAAGCATCAAACTTTGATAAGAAGTATCATCCATTGGGATAAAATACCGTTATATTCTCTTGAATGGCTTTGGTGAAGCTATTTATGTCTGAGTCATAGAATCTTTCTTCGGCGGTTTCAATTATGTTGACGTCCCAAACCTGTGTAGCAAAAAATTGGTGAGTAGAGTAGATGGTGAAATAGATCATACAGTAGTAGTGAATGAACCTGAGAATTAGATTTACATGGTGAAGATTTTGCTTCCTTCTGTACCAGTGAATGTTAATTAAATTGCCTCCTTTGTCAGAGGTAAATCCCACATGTAGAGGCTGCAGATTAACCATGCAAAAGAGCCATTACAATAACTAAATTGCAAAGTCAGATGCTAGCTTAGTATATGGTGCTTTTGGTGCTTTATCATGCTCACCTGATGTACATCTCCCATAAAATGAGAGAGGAAAAGAAGAGCTTGTGTGAGGTTATCTGATATTATGATTTCACCAATTCAATAAGAATTTGGTCAGTGAGAGAATAAGATATAAACAAAACAATAGGGAAACAAATAGAGGTTGTAAGCTCAAGCAATGGTTTACATTGAGAGTCTTTGCCATAGTCCAGGAGCTGGTCTGTGTAATTCTTAATCGCTCCCACAACACATCTTCCCTTCTCACCATCCTGATCCTTGCAATCCCCTGAATTTTCAGACAACTGATCAAAACTATCCCACATCACCCCCTTCACCGGATTTCTAATCTATAAATTTCAGAATCCCAAAAGCGAATCTGATTTTTGAGATTCTGCACTCAGAAATTGATAATTTTGCAGAACTGTACAAATAATGTATCCTATAATAGTGTTAGATTATTTAACACAGACACAGAAAATAAATACCAAAATCCTAAGCGGGACAAACATGGATAAAAAATTAGGAGCAGAACATGAGAAATGAACTTACTGTCATACTGAAAATTGCAAAGCTTGTCTGGCGTATCAGCAAAGTGCAATGCAGAAGACCAGTGCAAATAAAACCTGACACGATCAGCCCATGAACACACGCTCGCCAAGTCGTTTTGTGCATATTTTGGCAGCAGATTTTTCACAGCATCTGCTGCTGAATCGCTGAGGCGAGACTGTTCATAGAAAGAGGAAATTAAGTGATGATGCATATATTTAAACACACAGCAGCACTCATAGGGAGAATGAATGAAAGCAACAGAAGAAATAAAGTGATTGGTGACCTGAGCAATCCTACAAACTATGGCGTGGCCATCTTCTCCCCATCCTTTGGTGTTTGGAAGCAAAAGAATAAATGAAAGTGTGACCAATAACTGGATTTTGTAGCACATCATCTTCCTCCTTCACAGAACTATGCAATTCCTGAACCACCTCTACACTTATTTATAAGTGCGTGGGAGAGACCTGATTTCTTCATTTTCAGTTCGAATTGTGTGAATAGAGTGCACATTGTTTGCGTTACGTCAACTTGGAGTGTGCTTTACGGTTCAAATCAAATGAAAAGAAAGGCACATATTTTATTCATCGGTTTAACTCGGATTAAAATCACGGTTTTCTCAATACTAAAATAACAAAATAAGTTTTTGCAATTTTATTTTGCACACGAATAAGTCTAAAACATATATAACTTCTATAGTTTCTTTTACATAATTCTTTATTATTCACAAAATTGCCTAGTGACCAAAATGACCTTAAGAATATAGAAATAATCTCAGAAATGTTAATTTGGAATTAATGAATATATATGAGATTCGCAATGTAATCAAACCGATTAATTTTGTAATTATTGCATTTATGATCTTGTAACATATTGACCTTATTCGATTATCCAAATGTAATGGTTATATTTTAGAACTAGAGTCTCACACCTGTAAAAAGTTTTTATTGCTATGGACATCTTTTCACTTTTTATTTGCCTATTAATAAAACGTTATCTTTTAAATTTTCTGTATTTATGTTCAGTATAAAATTAATTATTAATTAATATACTTATGAAAAGTTGAACGTTCTAAAAGTCAGAAAAGAAATTAATAAAAAATAAATGAATTGAAAAAAAAAAAACATGTTTTAATTAAGAACGTTTTTGATAACACAGTAAGTTTGTTCTTAGCCTACAAGCTAATTTAACTAAGATAAAAATATTTAATAAAATAGCTAATTTAAATAAATTTTAACTTATATTTAACAAGCTAATTTATTTGATTTTTAACTTAGTTTATTTAATTTTTTTATTTATTATATTTTTAATATGTATTTTATTATTATTGTTAATTTATTTTTATCTATTATTGTTTATTTTTAATTTTGTAAAGATAATAAATATTATTATTCTTATATTTTTAATATTTTCAGAATTAATTTTTATTTTTTATGTAATTAAATTAAAAATAATTAACATAATAAATAACAATATATCAAATTAAAAGTAGGGAGAGTGGACTTTAACTATACCCTATCTAACATTAATAAAACGGAAAATGACACTTGAACAACCATTTTTGACAACATTTAGACACGCGCACACGTGTCAAAATCTGAGTGGTCCAGTTGGTAAAATTAAATGAAAATGGACCACTCAGATTTTGACATGTGTGCGCGTGTCTAAATGTTGTCAAAAATGGTTGTTCAAGTATCATTTTCCTTAATAAAACTATTATGTTGTGTTAGGATAAAGAAATGTAATCATTAAAAAAATAAATACATAATAATTGAATAAATTGTTAAATAGTTTGATAGTATGGAGTGATGGAAATATCTTGGATTTTTTATTTCTTGTTTTCATAAAGTAATTTAATTTTTTAAATATTTTGATATTCAATCATATCTTTCATCTCAAGTCAATTTATTTTGATTTTCAGTTCTCAATCTTTACATTAAAATGACTCGACTTAATTTTTAATTTAGGTTGACTTATCTCGATCTTCGATCCAAATCTAGTAGTCACATCTTACAACCTGAGCTGACTTGTCTTAATCTTTGGTTTAGAATGACCTATTAGGACCTTCTTAGGCCAACTTGTCACAACCCTGACAAACTAATCATATCCTTATGCCTATTAACACATATCGACATTTGGTTAGATTCAAATCGGCTCGAACTTCTATCTTAGCCAAATGAACATGACCTTTGACCCAAACTGAATCATTTATACTTTCAACTTGGATTGACTCACCTTAATTATTATGGACCGACTCATCTTGATTTTTGGCATGGTCGATTCGATAAGATTTACACTCTTGGGCAATCTAACAATCTCTTCAACCCTAATAAACCTGATTCGACTTTCGGTCCGACCAATTTATCTTAAACTTTGACTCAACTCATCCTAAAACTCATGTCAACTCAACTTAACCTTAGTGAATAAAATAAATAAGAAAAATGAAAAAAAAAAGTGAAACTTCAAGTTTCTTATACTTGGTAAAATATTTAAAAAAATTCTATTTTACTCATTTAAAAATACATTTCAAAATTTCTTAAATTTCAATTCATTTTTAATTATTTTATTCAAATATAATGCATTCAAACCCTAAACCTAAACGCATCCAAACCCTTCTAAATATAACCTTTCTAAATTAACGCACGCTAACAA